ATGTGATTTGTTTTCGTCACAGGCTGAAGTTGCGCTAGATGTAACGTTGACTTGTTTAGGATTCAGCTTGATGTAACATTGACTTGTTTAGTATTCAGCTCGATGTAACATTTACTTGTTTAGGATTCAGCTCGATGTAACATGTACTGGTTTAGGTCACAGGCTCCTGTGAAGCTTGAGGTAACATTACCTATTCACATATTTTATATTAGGGGTTGATGGATCCTAGCCCTCTTGAAACTGGCGGAGGTATAAATCACTGGCTGAATTCCCGTGTATATTTGTACAGACAGACAGTGTGTATGTCGTTCATCTCACCAGAGACACTAGGGAATGTTTCATACGCATTCTTCCTGTGCAGAATAATGCATTGGGCAGCAGCTTGCTGAGGTCACTGTCTGTGACCTGCTTGAATTTGGCTCTTGAATAATTAATACAAGCTGTTTTAGGTGTGATGTAGACTGACGCTTAGTCTCTCAATATATATAGCTTGATAGAAACAAACAATTCCTTTTGAAATGAAAAAGAGACCCAGCGAGGGGAGACTTTTCACGCAGAAGCGGATCAAGTCTTTCTCCAAGATCATACTATCTTCACAGATACGGATCGTCGTCACTATCGGACTCAGATTCTCATCGGGAGCCAGCGCCTCAAAGAAGACTCTACCTCAAGGAGGTGCGATGGAGTGATCCGTGGTTTTATGTAGTGCTTCAGGGACTTGAGGGCAGACTATCAGGAGTGACCATGTCATAAATATCATTTTTATATAACTAATATTAAATATTAAATCATATTTGTTATATGGTTTCTGCTCTTATCACGGATATGCGGGATGAGATTTGGGATAAGGATAATAAATGTTCACTGGATCTCAGATGAATTGGTGGGTAGGATTGGTAATGGGAAGGTGGTGGGCAGGGCCTGACGTGGATGTGGGCGTGCCTGCGTGCCTACGTGCCTGCGTGCGTTCCTGCCTGCGTGCCTGCGTGCTTGTGAGTGTTCACTGACAGGGATGAGCGTGGTGATGGGTGGTCCATGTTTATTGACACAGATGGTGAGTAAGTGAGTGAGTATGGTTTTACGGCGCTTTTAGCAATATTCCAGCAATATCACGGCGAGGGACACCAGAAATGGGTCTACACATTGTACCCATGTGGGGAATCGAACCCGGGTTTTCGGCATGACGAGCGAACGCTTTAACCACTAGGCTACCCTACCGCCCCTTGACACAAATGGTAATTAATGGTCCATGTTCACTAACACAGATGAGAACGCCAGGTGCAACCATGTTATGTACCGACACAAACCAGTAGTCACGTGACAGGAAGTCCGGATGGAGAAAGGACATGTTGATTATAGTCAACCATCTGCCTTCTGCCCATTCAGGGAGTCCAAGAAAAATAATTACAATCTAATTTGTTCCTGTAATACGTAGCTGCAACGTCTTGCTAGCAGATAAGTAAGTGTTCGGACGGGCAGATCAGATTTCGACCGAGCTACTGAAAATCACAGGGTCGGAATGAAGCCACTTGAAGACACGTCGTCTTTCAACACCTGACATAGGTTTTCGCACTGGCTGTATCTCTGATGGATTGACCTTGAAGGTGATGTTCTATCCTTTGAGAGTCTGTCTTCAACTTTATGAGATCTCTAAACTGGATGGACATCCTACCCTTCACATATGTAGATGTGAGAGTTAGATTTAACCCCATTTAAATAGTATATCTGGTTTAAAACGGTGAGATGCGGGAGAAATGCCCACAAATTGCAGGTCTCAGAGTTTCACCATTTTGGGAGAACCTGCCAGGAAGGGTTGCCGCTGATGTCTTTCAATGAAATTATCTATTGTTTGCAAACTGAGAAAAATATTAATTCGAATGTCTCGATCTAAACGGGAATGAGGAACAAGACAAGGGAATGAGTTATAATGGGTAAACGTTTCCTTTGGACTACATGCCAAACACTAAACGCATACCCTTCTTATCAAGCCTACTTTCTATATCTCAAGGCTCTTACACATCACCAAGTGAGTGGGTATAAGTTTACTCCGCTTTTAGCAATATACTGGGACACGAAAGGAGGCTTGCACTGTACTTATGTGGGGGTTCGAACCCCTGTCTTTGGTGTGACGAACACGCTTCAACCACTAGGCTAACCCCCCGCCCACGTCACCAAGTGACTGCTATGTAGACTCTGACAGACCCGAGGCATGTTCAGAACCGCGAGTGCCCGCGAACGCTAGCGAGCGCTCGATCCTGAACGCCTGTGCCCGTTCGAGCGCCCCCGCGCGCACGCGAACCATTCTCACAGCTGCCTCGCCAAGCGAACCAAGATGGCGACCATGTTTAATGTCATTCGTCACCACTCGCCCCTTTCCGTAACCTCCAAAATGAAGGCATGGAGGATATTTTGTTAATGTTGTCAAATAACATGTATATTTCATCGAGTGTTCTGACAAAGTTGATATATATGTTCACGAGTGGCGTAACCATTGACAACATTAACAAAACATTCTATTTATTATAATTTGATCTTTGTTTATAAATGATCGAGACATCGATTTCGTAGTTCGCGTTTCTTAGTTCCAGGCAAAAGTGATATTCTACTCAGTGAAAATGAAAATACCATGTTTCTTTTCACCAATATTTACAGTATTTCACCCTTAAGAATATAATAAAAGAAGCTATTCGGCTTGTCCCGGAACAACACGAGTTGGTCACGAATGGTTTATTGTAACCAAGCGCTCGCGTCCGTTCAGGGCCGATGCGGGCGCTCGCGGTTCTGAACCCGCCTCAGAACACGTCTGTAAGATGAGACTAATCTTTTCTCGTCAACCATAGGCTAGTCTCACTACCAAGTACGCGGTAGTCGCATCACTATCAACCAGAAGCTAGTCTTTTCAACAAATCCACAATTTACGCTTCTGATCCCAAGCCATCTTACTATCGACCATAGGTTAACATTTTAAATGTGAAGGTCCACCGACATAAAGGATGGAAGAATATCGAATACCAGATTCCCTTCACGTAAACAGAGGCGTGATTATTGGTGTGTCGCAATGACTCCCGCAGTCCTGTACATTCTTACAATAATCGATAGTAACTCGAGTCGACAGGGTGATATCTCTGCATCTGTGTGGGGTCTTATGTCGTCACAGTTTGAGACAGCTTCATAATCAAACGTCAAAGGGGAGGCTATGGTGTTTTATCTGTTAAAGGCGAGGGTAACAGTAAAGACCCTTGTCGAACGCATGTCCAAATCTCAAGAGTTGTAAGTATACTGCCTGCATTCCAGACATGTAAAGGTTATACTACGCCAAATCAGAATCCGTAGTTTAGCAAGCCTTCAGTGCAGACTGGACCGTCAGACAGATGTGGGTGATTTTGTGTAAGATTTTTTAGGATTTAAAATGTACACCCATCCAGTAATTTTGAAATTAAAACTGACTTTTTTTTTAACTATTTAGCGCTGTTTTTACTGATGACTTTTGCTGAATGTAACCAAAGATATTTTCAAGCGGTTGACATTTTCTGCGAAACTGGGGTTGGTCTGTTTAGCTTCCTGTACTCGGAAAAGGAGCTGGCTAAGGTGGTAATGTTTTTATATTTTTATTGCTTCTTGCAGGCCAGGCTATTTAACATGTACATGTAATAACTGTTGATGGCTGGGTTAAAAATAAATAAAATAAAATGTCACTATAGAAGTCAATGGGAACATATTTGGTTTTGTTCAAGCTGAAGGACAGTCTATACCACACTGGCGGGATTACTCCTGGATAATGGAGTTTTGCATTGTTCCTGGTTGATGGGGGTGTCTACCTGGGTTTAATTATTGCACTTGCGCGCTTGTGTGTCTGCACGTGCGTTTGCGTTAGCGCTAATCCGGACAACTACAATCCGTTTCATAGTTCGAGCCTACTGATCTACCATGCTGTACACCCTGAGTTCTTTTCTTTATACAGTAAATGTCAAGCGCCAGACAGGGTAACAACCATTCGTAACTACTCGTGTCATTCCGGCAAGCCGGATGGCGTCTCGTACCCCTCTCGTGGCCATGTTTACGACTGGGCCCTGACTAAGCGCAAACGGGCACTGGTATGAAAATAGTCTAGTGCTATCACCAAGGAAAGATAACTCTGAATTTCCAAACATGGCTCTAGAATATCCTACATCCCGTGGGCAAAACAGCAGAACCCTTTCATGGTGTGAGCGTTCAAGACTATGGGGCAATCAGTATTAGAACAGAGGTTAGTAGGAAGATATGACAAGTAACCTTCTGTGGGAAGAGACAGAATGTCTGTAAATATGTTGACAACGGACAAGCTCAGTGTTTAAAGTTTCTGATCCTTTAGCTCAAAGTTTATTATTAAATTGTCCTTTGCATAGTTTAGCAAAGTTTCAAACTTCAACGGTGACGCCATTTTCATGCTTCGAAATGCGTTTTACTACGCGCGATTTGATTGGTTTGCCACGATTCTTGGCAATAATGGCGTACGATAGGGGTACGAGTCTTCTTTAGGTCACGGAAAGAGGCGAGTAGTTACGAATGGGTAACAACAAGTAACATATTTAAATGTCGTAGGGAGGGCGCAACTCCCGGAAAACATGTTTTTCTCAAGGTCTCGGAGGCGGTGACTTAATGCGCAGTAATGTTACAGGGCCACAAGACTCGGGCCTTTGGGATCTACGTGCTGTTGGTTGGTTGGTTGGTTTTGTTTGTGGGTTCCATTTTACAGAATGGGTTTTCGTTTTACAGAATGGGTTTTCGTCTTAGGAAGTGCCCAACACGGGCACAATATGATACAGCGCAAGCGCAGCCTACCCAGCAAACCAGGCTCATACATGACCTACCGTAGCGATATTGTTTGCAAATGACTCCAAGGCGAAAATAAGAACAACTTGGTGATTAAAGTAATCAGGTAAAAATTAACAAGTTTGAACATACATTTGTGCACAAGATTATTTTTCCAACACATTACTAACCACGTTTGTTTGTTTCAGATGGGCGTGTCCACCCGTGACCTCACAGAGCTACGTGTGAGGGAGGGGCTTGTGTAGCCCCGACCCCGGCATGCCTCCTGCGACCAACCTACGGATACCATGCTCTACCCTCTTGGTCACCACCGAAGTCTACAACACCACCAGTCGCGACGCCGCCATCGACAACGACGACCGCAATGCCCTGTTATACATCGTCGTCACGCTTCTGTTCTACTCCCTGGGTATTGTAGTCGGTATCATAACCTACCTGAAGCGCGAGAAGCGCGAAATGGAAGAGACCAAAACTTTTGAAATGTTCATGAGCCTCAAAAGAGATCCATTCACTGCAACGAAACTACGTAGGGTTCAAATTGTAACAGAAAGACTAGAACAACTTGAAAAATCCAGGCTTGCTATGGAGATGTCGCAGGGCTCTGAGCTTGAAAGGTTGATGACAGATCGAAATGAGGAGGAGGTGGCAGTTCATGGAGAGGAGGATAGAAAAACGGAAGAAGAACAGATAAGCGTTCAGTCAGCGGAGGACACTGACGGGTCTGAACGACCAACTGTTTTAGGTGTATCTGATTCCAGTTCTAACTCAGAAGACGATCCAAAGAGACTTCAGTTACAGAAACAGGCCAATGTATTTCAAGTGTCTCCATCGGGAGAACCTATATCATCAGTAGTGGCCAAGATATTTGACTCTGAGAGACGAGGCGGTCTTCCTAACTCACCTAAAGCCCTGCATTTATTCAATAGCCGTGGTCGGCTAAGTCGGGATCAATCTTTAGACTCTGGTTCCGCTAGGGGGCGCTTGAGCAGAGACCAGTCTGTTGACCTGACACCTACTTCCGCTATTTCCGGAAGTAGCGCCGCCGAAAGCAAGACGCCCCCTGTGGAACCAGAAGGTTGTCTCGTCACCAACGTGTGATGTGGTCCTGTAGGATTTTTTGTGTTCGTTTGTTCTTCTCCGAGCGGCCAGTCACAACACAGTTTAGTTTGACATCACCTCTATGCAATGCCCAGACAGTTACAAACTTGAATACCATCTTAGCACCATCACTCTTTTACTTGTTTTTTACTCACGTTGTTTACGAAGTTTCTTCACAGTTTATCAATTTATGCATCATTAAACTTATCTCACAATATGATTATCTTGGCTCATTTCCTTCAGGAGATAAAGTTCACATTTTTTAAATTTGTTGTTATTGAAAGGTATTTTAGCTGGAGGTTTCAAACGGCTCCACATCAAATATAGAACTCCCGATATAATAAATGGAAATTTATAGTCAAAATATACTTAACCTTATTCGATTTGTATGTTTGTATCAGATTATATGAGTACTATCAAATGTTGTGTAGAATACCCTTTGGTAAAGTAGGTTTGTTTGAAACAATCAATGTTCTGTTCTCAACCGGGCCCTTAGTTTAGCCTCAATTCTGCTTGCTTGAAGTGGACATAGATACTAGTCATGTTATACTGTGGCACTTTCTACACCTGAAACATATTCGAAATCACGTCAGTATTTTCATGTAACCCAACCTTTCGCAGACACAAGCCGAGTATTGCTTTGAAGACGTCGCGTACGTCATTGTGTCTGTCTCGCGATTGCCGACACAACATAAATAATACATTATATATGAAGACAAGCAGCTCCCAGCGCCTGCCTACAAAACTGATGATTCAGATGATTCGATTAGAGCCTACAACCTTACAGCGTCATCTGCGTGAGACAAAGATATTTGTTGAGTATTTTATCAACAAAGCATGTATTTCACCTCGAGTAAAACCACGTGTTTGGGTAGCCTGGTTCCAGTACGGCTCTCTAGCAAGGCAACGTGTTTTCAGACAAAGACCCATAGTGAGTTGACCATTGATTCTTTTGTACGATCAGAACAAAGGATATCGCATAAAGCTTAGTTTTACGGCCAGTGTGGGAAGAAAGGAATGTGTCTATAGAAAAACCAAGTACTAAACCTGTTATATTTACTCTGGGTAATCGCAAAACGCGTCTAACGTGATCGGGTGGTCATCTCTCTGGGCATATCCGATTGATCATATTTCCGTATATAGCTAAGATGTATGCTGATAGCAGCGGAATAGCGGACACGTGATTACCGTTGTTCCTTCTAGTGATAAAACATTTGGCTTCAACACAGGAAGCACTTGACGGGGTACTGAAATAAACATTGACATAGCATGTGTAGAGTCAATCGATTACGGTTTCTGTGGGACGGTATGTGAGTTTATCCCTTGAAACAAACCTAGGACGTCAAAATTAATAGAAGATACTAGATTTAGAAATGACTCTACCATATTTAAAACCATCGTAAACGTTGTATGACTTTTTATCATATGTACAGACACAGAGGTACTCATCAAAGGGTATAAATCTTGGATTATATTTTGTAGAATATTTCTTTCAAAAAGTGCCTAAAAGCTAATTTGCCTGATTAATTTGGTTTATACCAGAAACATTATTGTCCTCTAGACATGCTGGGTAGCCAGAGAAATCCTTTTAAACATATATATAATTGTTCGGCGTCAGTTGGGATGGTGTTAGCCCAGTTGTCTCAGATGGTGTTAGCCCTGTTCGCTCGTCTCGCTGAAGACCCGTTCGATTTCTCACATGAGAATAATGTAAGATGCTCATTTCTGTAAGTCCTTTGTGATATTGCTAGAATATTGCTAAACGTGGCGTAAAACAGTACTCACTCACTCTTTCCAGAAAAAAATGTATACCGGGATTTCTCGTATTTAAGCCCCTCTCTTAATAACGGAATTTCTCGTAATGACCCCTCTCGTTAACAAATATAAACCCCATAATTAAGCCCAGGGCTTAAATTCTGGAAATGCTTGTAACTGAAGAAAGTGATGTTAAGACACAGTAAAATGGAATGAACTTTAATAATGATATTATCATTTATTGCGACCTCGTTTGAGTCATATGGATTGAGATTGTCTATTTGAGTATAGAGTACCTGACCTCTCTTGAGACTCCGAAACGTTCTGTACACGTGAAAAACTCTAACTGCACTACAAACGTTATATATGCTTACGTTCGCCACGTGCTTTTGCAAAGGGGCGTTACTCTAAACAATAAAATTTGAAATCTTAATTTAGGCCCATGGGCTTAATAACGGGAAAATATCCCGTTTTTAAGCCCATGGGCGTAGTTTCGAGTGGGCTTAAATACGGGAAATCCCGGTACATTATTGCATCGACAAAAGAATATATTCTATAAGTGACCAAACACCCTCCCACACTTCTTGGATACTAAGTGACCTGTGCTCTAGTCTTGTCCCTCTGAGGTGTTCATGTAGCCAGTGGAAACGTTCAAGTTCAATTGGTAGCCTAGTAGTTAAAGCGTTAGCTCGTCACGCCTAAGACCCGGGTTCGATTCCCCACATGGGTACAATGTGTGAAACCCATTTCTGGTGTCCCCCGCCGTGTTATTGCTGGAATATTGCTAAAAGCGGCGTAAAACTCACTCACTCACTCACGAAAGTTCAATTAAGTAACTGTCTGCGTGACAAAATCACCACTTCACCGCCGACTTGTCCTTTTATTTAGTTTGTGTTACGGAAGACACATCTGCGGCATCTTGACGAAGATCCCGCTCTGGACGTTTTCACACCTGTCCTGGTACAAGAATGCAGAGAAAACGGCATAAAGATCTCAAGGGAGGTAATTATTCAAAGACAAGACTTGGTTATTTTCTCATTTCCTGATTTCCAGAAATAATAACACATCACCAGCAGCAGCCACGACCGCGTCGTTACTACATACACGATGTAGCACATTGTTATGGTTACGTGAAGAGGACGTAGGTGTTGCTATGGAAATAAAACCTACTGTAAGAAAATTGAAAAAAACAAAAACGAAAAAGGTTTTGAAAAACACTGCAATTATTTTTAAGAAATTGAACTTAAACGTTATAAAAAGCTAGCCGTTCTTATACTGCATAATTTTCTAATTCAGATGTAATCAAAGTTGGCCTATTTCTTTTAAAGAGCAGTGTGTATATATCATTCTTCAGTGAGTAGAGGTTAACACCGCTTTCGTAAAAATTACTGCCTCATTAGGCGGTTGAGCGGAGAAATGGTTTACCAGCGCACACTCATGGGGGAATCGAACGCTGGTGTTTTGCGTGACGAGTGAACGCTTTACCACAGGGCTACCCCATCGTTTCATATGTATGAATGAGTGAGTGAGTATTGACTCATGCCGCTTTAAGCAATAGTCCAACACCATGATGGCAGGGGATAACCGAAACGGGCTCTATACACAGTATCCATGTTGGGAATCGAACCGGGGACGAAGGAACGCCTTAACCTAGAGACTACCTCACCAACCCATATTTATGAATGTGTTCGGGCGGAAATGTTTGTTTTGTTTGTTGATTTGTTTACTGCAGCAGGCAGCAATATTCCAGCTACATGACGGATGTATGTAAATAATCGAGTCTGGACCGACAATCCAGTGATCAACATCATGAGCCTCGATCTACGCAATTCGGATACAATGACATGTGTCAACCAAGGAAGCCAGCCTGACCACCCGATCACGCTAGTTGGCTCAAATGACGAGCATGGGTTACTGAAGATCATTTCTAACCTGGATCTTCATGGGTCTGGGCGGAAAATAAATACTACAGTTCCAACACAACGTGTCAGACATGTAGTTCTGTCAAATTAGTGACATCAAGAACTATCTACGAACTGGTTACGATTGCATGCCACCAATCCTATGACATATTCGAACAAACATATCAAGTCTTACTTTTACGTTTAACATTGTCACTGAAAATTTAATAACACATTTCAAAATAACAAACATATGAATTATCACTGAATTTTGTGAGAACGCGCTGACTCACGGTTAGATGGTAAAGAGAAATATGGAGATCGTGCAACGATATACAGCAGCATATGCTTTAATAGGGTGATATTACTCTTTCAAATATTTGACTACAGACAGAAATGTAACAGACCCAATCTTACCGCTCCTTTCTAATTATCAGAAACGACTATATTGGATGGATATTACAATATATTCCACGTAAAGATTAACAACTTGCAGTAGAAATATCACCGACCATTTCCTATCGCCTATCTAATTGTATATAATTCCACATCGCGTACAGGAAATGTCAAGGTCGTTTCATTCGCATTCCGCTATAAATGAAGAGATTTGATTGGTCAGTTCACAGCTTTGATCTGATTTGCGTTAATCTATCGGGCCGCATCTTCCTTTGAAGATGTCGTGTATATCATTGTCTCCATCTCGAACCCGGCATCTTGTAAATAATGAATTGTACAAGCAAAGACGCTACCCGCGTCTATCGACCAAACGGGCGTTGTCGAAGACAACATCGTTGACATGAGATTAAGATATTTGTTGCACAAAGGAATGGTTTTGTCACTAGAACATTACTTTCGTTATAGAACAAACGTTATGGAAAACAACTTCTTTTTATTCGTGAGTGCGACGTTTCGATACAGATTCTTGTACCGTTGTCAAGCATGATGGAACATGAAGAAGGGGGAAGTATATATATACTGGATGTAACAATGTAACAAAGAAAACAACATAATTAACATAATTGGCTAGGCAGAAAGCTGATGAAGCCAGAGAGTAGACAAAGGACAGGCTTGGAAGCCAATGATGTACAAATAATAATTCCGCTTATGATGCACTCATCCACCAAGCCCAATCTACTGTATAAACTCTGCTGTATAAACATCTCATTATTATTTGTACATCATTGGCTTCCACGCCTGTCCTTTGTCTACTCTCTGGCTTCATCAGCTTTGTGTCTAGCCAATTATGTTAATTATGTTGTTTTCTTTGTTACATTGTTACATCCAGTATATATACACTTCCCCTTCTTCATGTTCCATCATGCTTGACAACGGTACAAGAATCTGTATCGAAACGTCGCACTCACGAATAAAAAGAAGTTGTTATCCATAAAGTTTGTTCTATATTGTACTTCCCAACTTCTAAAATGCCACTCAAAGAAGTCATTACTTTCGTGTTGGGTAAATCGTGTGTTTTGGTAGCCTGGTGCCAGTCAGCTCTTTGGCATGGCACCGTGTTTTCAGACAAACACTCTGAGTTTACTGATCATTGATTCCATTGTAC